GCCGCCATCTTTTTTTGATGAAAACGTGCTTCCGGTGAGCTTTCTACCCGGAAAAGCTCACCGGAAGCACTTTTTCATCAAAAAAAGATGGCGGCGCCCAGCAAACCAGCGGCCCGGTAGGACTTGTTCCACGGACCAGTACCGGTCCGCGGACCGGTGGTTGGGGACCCCTGTTTTTGTGGATAGTAAGTCCACTACTATAAGCAAAGGTCTTTTCACATTCCATGCATTTAAATGGCTTCTCCCCTGTGTGGATCCTTTTGTGTATTCTTAGGTCATTGCTAAGAGCAAAGGTCTTTCCACATTCCATGCATTTAAATAGCTTCTGTGCTGTGTGGATCCTTTTGTGCATTCTTAGGTAACTGCTATGAGCAAAAGTCTTCCCACACTCCATGCATTTAAACGGCTTCTTCCCTGTATGGATCATCTTATGGGAAATAAGATGACTTTGAGCAAATCTCTTCCCACACTCCATGCATTTAAACGGCTTCTCCCCTGTGTGAACCAACTTATGACGAATAAGATTACCTCTTTGAGCAAAGGTCTTTCCACACTCCATGCATTTAAATGGCATCTCCCCTGTGTGGATCTTTTTGTGGCAACTAAGTCCACTGCTCTGAGCAAAGGTCTTTCCACACTCCATGCATTTATACGGCTTCTCCCCTGTATGGATCTTGTTGTGGCAACTAAGTCCACCGCTCTGAGCAAAAGTCTTTCCACATTCCATGCATTTAAATGGCTTCTCCCCTGTGTGGATCCTTTTGTTTATTCTTAGGTCACTGTCATGAGCAAAGATCTTTCCACACTGTATGCATTTATACGGCTTCTCCCCTGTGTGGGAGAAAGCAAAAGTCTTTCCACATTCCATACATTTAAATGGCTTCTCCCCTGTGTGGATCATTCTGTGGATAGTAAGTCCTTTACTATAAGCAAAGGTCTTTCCACATTCCATGCATTTATATGGCTTCTCCCCTGTGTGGATTATCATATGGGAACTAAGATGACCACTTTGAGCAAAGTTCTTCCCACACTCCATGCATTTATACGGCTTCTCCCCTTTATGGATCATCTTATGGCAAATAAGATGGCCACTTTGAGCAAATGTCTTCCCACACTCCATGCATTTATATGGCTTCTCCCCTATGTGGATCCTTTTGTGGATAGTAAGTCCAATACTATAAGCAAAGGTCTTTCCACACTCCATGCATTTATATGGTTTCTCTCCTGAGTGGATCCTTTTATGGGAAATAAGATTATGCCATCTTCTGAACGTGTTACCACACTCTCGGCATTTGTAGACCTTCTCCTCAGTGTGAATCCTTTCATGGGAAGTAAGTTGCCTGCTTGTTCTAAAACATGTTCCACATTGCAAACATTTATAAGGCTTGTCTTTTATGTCAATCACTTTTTGAGATATAAGGAACTTATTTCCAAGAAAAAGAATGAATGTCTCATTGTAATTTTGTCCGTTGTGTCTTCTTATTGCATCTTCTCCTTTGTTTAGGCTTAAACAGTGTTCTTTTACTTGTAGTTTAGCTTTGGTTGGCTTCACACTTTTCCCAATATATTTTTTCCTTATTTTCTCTTGCTGGGCAAGAAAGTCTTGCATCGGAGCATCTGTGGAAAATGAGCTTTCCTGATTCCAATTATTTGACTGGCTTCTCACATGGCTTTCGAATTCCATTCGAATTGCAAACTTCTCCATTCCATCTTTAGCATTGATCACTTGGGACAGTTCCCAGGAATCTTGATTCTCCTGTCCATTGTTACCTTCAAAAAAAGAGAAATGAAAATGATAACAAGGTTAGAGAAAAAAATCAAACTGTACAAAGTCAAGTGAATTTCCTTCTGAATTTTTCCAAAATTGCATTATGTTGAATATTCCCATGCTTCCAGTGCTGTGATACAAACATGATGGTTTCTGTATTCACGAGTCATGAAAGCGTTGAAAAATATCTCTTCTTTACAAATATACATATACGTATGCACATACACATACATACATACATACATACATACATACATACATACATACATGAATGGTATTCAGCTTTGTTCGGGTATTTTCCCACTATAATGACATGGGAAAATACCCGAACAAAGCTGAATACCATACATGTAAGTACCCATGAAAACTTAAGAAAACAAATATGTGTGTGTGTGTGTTCTGTCTCACTTTTCTTCTTTCCCAAAAGATGAAATAATACAAACTCATACAAACACAGGCAAGCAAGCTGGCTCGGACTTCACAGAGTTAATTCTTTGGAACTGATAATATCCTTGGCATTCCAACACGCTCTGCCTGCCAAGTCCGAACTGATAACAAATAAAAATCTATTCAGAGAAAATTACAAGGCAGTCCATAAAAATCATTCATGAAGAACATCTGAAGTAAGATTAAACTTTGTCCCGTACAAAGTTCCAGCCGAAAACACACCCACTTTTATCCCCTGTGGGGTGTGGCTCAATGACTCAGCTCACTCTCTGACCCTCCCACGCCTCCTACGTTGCTGCTCACGTTTCTCCCGACGCTGCTTAGGATCAAGCCAACACTCTTCCTCTTTACTCCCTGTCAGGGGCTGCTCCGATATGCCTTCCTCCTGATTAATCTCAGGCTGTTCCTCTCGGTTGTCTGATGAAACCTGAGGCATTATCAGGGAGGAAGGCATTGCCAGAGAGGAAGGTCCTGGGGAGGAAGGCATTCCCAGTTCCTCCTCCTCATCTTCCAGGTCTTCTTCCTCTGACAGCATAGGCTCGGGAATCGGGGCCACAACATATATGTGTATATATGTGTGTATGACAAGAAAGCCCCCAACAACTCACAACACCTGAAACAATTAGTATATAACGTTTCCAACAGAGAACTCACCAAAACAGAAACAGATGTCCTAACCAAAGGATTCAATTATGCTATAGCACCCAAAAAAATCCCCACAGAATCCATCATATGTGCAGTAGAATCCAGCCTAACTAAATTAAATACAGATGAAGCTGATAGAATAAGACACCAAGTTACTAACATCCTATGCACAAGCAAACCACCCAAAACCAACTTGCAAAAAGAAGAACTAAAGGCGCTGCAAGGCCTGAAAAAAGATAGCAGCATAATCATACTTCCAGCAGACAAAGGGAATGCCACAGTAGTAATGGATAGAAAAGACTACGAAACAAAATTGACAGACCTACTCCAAGACTCCACATACAAACCTATAAACACGGACCTAACCACATATCTGGAAAAATTAACCAAGAAGAAAATTATAAATTTGAGCAAAGAGATCCAACAGACAATCATCCCAAGAGAAAAATCTTCCAGATGCCCCAAACTATACGGCCTCCCAAAAATACACAAAGAAGGCATACCTCTCAGACCCATAGTCAGCTCCAGAGGAGCACCACTACAAAACCTAGCTAAACACTTAGCAAAACAGCTAAAGCCCCATGCTGAAACAGCAGTTTCACATGTACAAAACTCATACCACTTCTTGGAAATGATCAAAGATCTACATGTGGAGCAAGAAGATCTGCTTGTAAGTTTCGACGTGGTTTCACTATTCACTCAAGTCCCGATAAAAGAAACTCTGGAAATCATCAAAAATAAATACCAACCAGCTAAACACCTCATGGAACTAACAGAACACTGCTTAATCAACACATATTTCATATACAAAGGACAAAGATACAAGCAAATTGAAGGAGCCCCTATGGGATCACCACTGTCACCCGTCATTGCAAACCTGTTCATGGAAGAATTCGAATCCAGAGCCCTGGCTAATGCCACCCACAAACCCAAACTATGGTTAAGATACATCGATGACACATTCGTGATTTGGCGCCATGGAAAAGAAAACCTAAACAATTTCCTAACACACCTAAACAGCACACACCCCAAAATCAAGTTCACCATGGAAACGGAAACAAACAAACAACTACCATTCCTAGATGTACTAATCTACAAAAAAACAGATGGCACACTAGGACACACCGTATACCAGAAGAAAACACACACTAACCGCTACCTCAACGCCCAATCCCACCACCACCCAGCACATATAAATAAACTCCGTGGCTAAAACACTAATTGCTAGAACCAAATGCCTGGCAGACAAGACACACATAAAGACTGAACTATGCACCCTGACTAAAGTACTGACAGCCAACGGCTTCCACAAAAGCAAAATCACCGGCTTGATCCACAAAAACACACTGAGACATAATGGAGACCTAGAAGATGAACAGACCTATGGAACAGCTGTCCTGCCCTACATAAGAGGTACTACAGACAAAATCATTAAGATACTACACAGGCATCACATCAAGACTGCCTTCAAAACAGACAGAAAAATAGCAGCCATCCTTAGAAACCCCAAAGATAAAATTGACCTGGAAAACCAAGGCATATACGAAGTCCCCTGTGCATCATGCCCGGCCACATACATTGGACAGACCAATAGAAGAATAAGTACCCGCCTGGATGAACACAAAAATGCAGTAAAAAAGCTGGAACACACTTCCTCACTAGTCCAACACATGAAAGCCACAGGACATACCATCAACTTCAATGGCACCAAAACCCTAGCCACTATAGAAAACCCCAGCCACAGAATTATCAGAGAAGCCATAGAGATTGAAAAAAGACCTGAAACCATGAATAGAAGAGATGATTCCACCAGACTGTCAATCATTTGGAAGCCTGCACTCACAAACAAAAAAATCTCCACACCACTAGCCAGGCAAACACCTGGGCACAAACAGATCCCCCCTGATACCTCCAGCTCAAACACACCCCAACCAGGCACCCAGATGAAACCTAGCTTCCTAACAAATAATAGCTGTCCATTTACTCGGAGCCAAGCTGCACTAAAGGCCTCCAATACAGGAACACAATGTTGCCAGCCAATCAAGACACAAAAAGAGCCAAAAAACAGACAGAAGATACTAGAAACACCAATCAAGCAGAACACAGCAAACTCCAAGACCAATAAACACAGACCAAGACTCCCAACCAATCAGGATGAAGAAAAAACCATTCTGGCACAGCAGTAGGCTAGCCCCAAATTTAAAACTGAAACCACTGTAAAAGTCTGACTCACAGACGAACATAATACAGAAGCCTGATGATGGCAGATGAGATTCTGCCGAAATGTTGCTACAACTTTAAAAGCACAACTACAATGACGTTGTGCTTGTGTGAGCAAAGCATGATCGGAGCTGCCGTCTCTCTATAAATACTGGTGAGGAGGTTGGCTGTGTTGTCATTTCTTGATTTGTTGATGGAGTTGATATTTGCAGATTGGCTGCCTTTTTCGTAAGAACATGTGTGGCTGAGGTATTGGCTGTGTGTCTATCAGCCTCCTGTGTTGTAACAACCTGGGTAATGGGCTGTGTGATGATCTTCTGAGTTCTATTGTTTTGACATCCTGGGTCTTGTGCTATAATGTCCTGGGTCATTGGCTGTGTTGTAACCTCCTGAGTTCCGTGACGTGATAGCCTGAGAGGGTGGCTGTGATGTGATGTTCCGGGCTTTGGTTTGGCTCCGAGTTTGAGGTCTGGGTATGTGTTCATGGCGTGTGTCAGTTTGCTTGGTTTGGGGGTCGGGGTGTGTGTCAGCTGGTGATGGAGCCATGGTCTGGCTTCTGGATGGTGGTTGTCTTTCATCTATGGTGTGGCTTTCATCTATGGTGTGGATTTGGGTTTGAGTGTGGTGAGGGAGATTGGTGGTGGCGTCGTGTGTTCTTTTGGGTCCGGTGTTGGTTTTATGTATGTATGTATGTATGTATGTATGGTAGGTATTCAGCTTTGTTCAGGTATTTTCCCACGTCATTATAGTTGTGTTTTTAAAGTTGTAGCAACATTTTGGCAGAATCTCATCTGCCATCATCAGGCTTCTGTATAGTGTTCGTCAGACGAACACTCCCACTCAGACTGTTCCTTGATCCCAGCTATGAGATTTTGGAACAAAATCCCCTGCTTGATGTGTCCCATTGACTTGTAAACGCTCTTCGCACTAAGACTGGAAAGGTTGGGAGGCTTCAAGAATGGCTATTTCGCTGCTCCAAAGTCTCATCAGCTTTAGATCTTTGGTTGGATCTGGTACAGGCATCAGTTCACAGAGAACAGGGGCCTAAAGTACTTTAGTGCGAGATCACACGAGACCAGTAGTACAAGATCTCAGGCTACTAATCTCTTGTGATCTCGCACTGCAGTACTTTAGGCCTGTGTTCATTTAAGAAATGAGGACTGCACGAGATCCAGGGCAAAAGTCTTTCAAAACAAAAAGGCCTTCCTTCTGTTTGCAAAGCGCTTTGCCCTGGATCTCATGCAAGGTTTGGTTAGCATAGAACAGAGGCCTAAAGTACTATAGTGCGAGAACATGTGAAATCAGTAGTGTGAGATTTCCCACTACTGATCTTGCGTACTCAGTACTTTAGGCCTCCTTTTTCTGCAAATATACCAAAGCAGGCAAAGGAACTGACGGCTCGCTACATCGTCGCAACATAAGTCCCGTCAGGTGGGATGGGGATATAGCAGGGGTGGGCAAACTACGGCCCGTGGGCCACATGCGGCCCGTTGGTCTGTCCAATGCGGCCCGCCCCTGAAAAAAAATAGCTGCCATTGGTCTGTCCAATCCAGCCCGCCCCTGAAAAAAAATCACTGGGCGTGGCGTATTGCCCTGTGCCGTGTGGCCCCCAAAGCTGCAAAACAGTGTGGAGCGATCTAGGGGTAGGAAAGAAAAGAAATTTGCAAAGGCCTCGGCTGGGAGTTCGAAATCACCTTCG